AACGCAATCTATCAAAGTAAGGCTTTGATAATCGAGTGAAGTGTTCTGGGTGTGAAAGGAGTTTCTTTCGGAGGGGAGGAAGGAGGGAGAGCGCAGGGAAAGGGAATTACTATACCAAATCACAGAAGGGGAAGGAGATCAAGCAATAGTAAGAAGGTCCCAAGGATCCTACTTACTAGCGTGGCTTGAGGGAGGAAAGATTTGAGAGGAAGAGGGCGAGGAAAGTGGAGGTGGGGAGGAAAGTTGGACCGTCAAGTTGGGCGGTATTTAAGCTAGAGGGCTCAGCGGTTGATGCTGCTGCTCTGTGGGCACTACAACCCTTGGTTCACTGGTACGCGTTTGTGTTGTGGGGCCCTTTGTTGAGTCACGATCAGCCACGATCGATCACAAATTGAGAAAACTGTCTCGACACGTCAACCTTGGATCATGATTGGTCAGAAGTAGTCGTGTCCTATTCACGTTCGCCTTTGTAGACACGGCAATTGTTTGGCTCGACCGGTGACGAAGACGCGGTAATTGTTTGGCTCGACCGGTGATGAATTTGTTGAGTACACAATGTGTTCATAACGTGCATGTAGTTCTTGAGCAGACGTTTTTGCCAGAACTCTTGGATCCTTGCCGCGGCTAGCTTGAATTAAGCGACAGAAAGACACCACAGGTTCACTACAAGCCGTCTTGTGTAGGCAGTCCGCCAGTCAGACAGGCTCGACGATAATACACGAGTAGAATGGCTTTAGAGGCATGAGTTTAGAGAATCATGACTCTAAGCATCAATTTCCAAACACTTTTGAATTTGATAATTCATGGAAAGCGATGGCATTGCGGTATGTATTCATACAAGGATGAGTTAGTATATTTACGAGTCTTTCCAACACTTTGATAAAGATTGACCAAGTCAAGATGCTATCACAAATATGATGTCCCAGGTGGGTTTGAAAAAGGAACGATTGACGAAGAATCCAGCTAGCGATCCAAATAGCATGTTTTTTTTTTCCTTACTACGAGGCAAAAATAAGTTGACTACAATAAGAGGGTTTCACGACTCGGAGGAACGTCCAGGCTGTGAAGGTAAGGTGTGCAATATATCTTCCAATCAAAATTTTGGAAAGGGCATCCAGTTGAGTGTGGCAGTTGGTAGACGATGGCTAAGTCCAACGCAACAGTTTATAGATCAATTGAATCGCAAAGGCAGCGGAAACACCTTGCACGAATGCTTCAAATGGACGCACGCGAATTCTCGGCGCAGTCAAGAAAGAGGAGTGGCATGATCGGCTCGACCATGGCCAGTATGGGTGATCACGACTTTCACTGCGAGTCAATCACCAGCTGGTTTACTTCTTTAATGACGACCTGTGTACAGGACTTTCAATTTTTCGCGTTTCGCATGCCAATATAGCTAGTGCATGATCAATAAACACTTCTCGAGATAAAGTGGTACATGGTCTGGGGGGAGGGGAGGACGTAACTTCTAGACAAAGATCGTGGCAATTGCATTCGCCTCGCTCAACCATGTTCCTCACGGTTCATTGTGAGTCAATCACCAGCTGGTTTGCTTTTTCAGCGAAAAACGTGTGGAAGAGCTCCGAGATTTCATTATATCGCATTTTGAATGATTAGCTAACTAGTGCGCTCGATGAGCTCTGCTTCCAAATCAACATCCAAATAAGCGCGTTGATTGCATTGGCCTTAATACACCATGCCCTCCGTTCCCCAAGCTCTCAAAAACATCAAAGGCCATGTTAGGTAGGGCATGAACCCGTTGTCCAGGGTCACAAAGCATTGGATCAATCATATGGACTGAAAGCAGTGGATAGCCAAAGGTTAATCAATCAGAAGTCAATTCTAATATGGCGCATTCAAGTCGACTGGAATACAACCAAAACTGAATCTAGCTGGTGTAGACATTCTCAATACGGGATGGAACCCAATGATTGTAACTGGAAGAAAGAGATATTCCTCAAAATTGATTCCATTTCCACTGCCAACAACAGGCCCAAACGACGGAGATCATCCATGATCCGGCTGATGTTTGGTGAACGATGATTTCCGGCGCGTCCGTTGAGTGTTTTCAAGTTACATGAAAGCTACATGATGGGACTAGATATGACTAGTTTACAAGGCACATCGAAAAACTGCACGGTTTTCGCCTCGATATTTCCGATAAACAGAGCCGTAATATGAAGGTGCTCTGCTCAGAATCAGCAAGACAGAAATAAGAGATGTGTTCGCTGGCGGAAGAGTTTGGGCGATCAGTCCATGCAGGTGTGGTAGCCCAACGTCCAGTTCGGATAAAATGTGGCCGGATCTTCACCCTGGCACTGTGTCAAGCTACATAGGACCCGAGAAGCCCCCGAAGCAGGAAGTATGCGGGGCGGGGAGGGCCGGCGGTGTTCACCCGGGGCCCAGAGAGAAACAGACAAGCCTTGACAGGCTGCATACTCATAGTGTTGAACTCAATCATTCTGAAATCTGTTTCCTTGCTTTTGTATGCTTCTAAGTTCTACCCCCAAAAGAAGATGGAAAATGAAAAGTCTACGCTCATGGAGGGTGATGACACTAGGCTTATGAAAGCCAAGGCATGAGTAATGATGTTTTCTTTGAGGGAGTTCCTCCTTCTGAGCATCCCTTGTAATCAATCTTAGGTTGATGCAAAGTAAACCAAACTACTGATGGACCCTAGGTCCGTAGAGGAAGCAAAAACAACCCACAATGATGATCAATGAAGGTTTGAACAGGTAAACAAATTAGCAAAGAAAAGCTGGAACATTCATATAGCTTGTTGAAGCCAGTTGATCTACAGATTGGATACATGCTCTGTTAATCAAAAAAAATCTTCTATGATTTAATTACATATACTTGTGGGGACGATCTAAAACAATAGTTGTGCAATTTTTTAAGTTTCGTTCAACATGGATGTAAGAGTTTATTTTCAAAATGACATATGTATTGAGATATGAGGCCAATATGAAATTTGACGCCAAGGATACAACAACCAACTTAGATGACTTTAGAGGACGTTGACGTTCTTGAGATCTTGGCAAGCTTCCATGACTCTCTTGACCATCGTTTTCTCTCCTTCGCGGACCCAGACTCGTGGGTCTAGTCCAAAAAAATGTTATATCAGTAACAGTGATAAGGAGATGTATAACCGAACACGTTGAAAAATAATGCTTACCGTAGCATTTCTTGTTAGGAAGATCAGCGCCCTCCGGGTTACCAACTTGAGTTTTCAGATAATCCTTCTTGGAATCGAAGTAGTTCTATGAGACAATTCATTGTCAGTCAGTCCATGAATTCACAGTTTCCGAAAGGGCGAGTATTCAGAGTACTCACTCGGAAACCTTCCATGTAGGCCCATTGAGTGTCTAATCAACCAGGCAATAAGATAAAAACTATCAGAATCCTAATCTTGTGCGTGGAACTTGAGCATTAGCAAAAAATACGATTAATTTGTCCAAACTAACCAGTGTCGACATTCATCTGTTGGATTTGGGTTTAAAATAGAGTCAGCTCAGTTGATCAAACGCCATTCACTTTAACCCAAGCATACCTTGACAACACCGTTTTCGAGCGCAGTCGCGATTTCCTTCTTCGTGGACCCAGATCCACCGTGGAAAACCAGATAGAGAGGTCGTGGGTCGTCGGTCTTAAGTTTCTCCTTGCAGTAAGCTTGATGTTTTCCAAGGAGTTCGGGTTGCAAAGAGACGTTTCCAGGTTTGTATACCCCATGGACGTTGCCCTACATTGTGCCCCGATCGCATGTCAAATTTAGTAATAGAGTCTTTTTTATATCTTCTTTCCTGATTTCATTCGTGATTTGGGCTTACAAAGGCAGCCGCAATCGAAAACATCGGGCTGATCTTGCTGAAAGCAGAATAAACGTCCCACTGAGAAGTGACAGGTTAAATTAAGGAACCTTCCAATGTCAGCAATCTTGAACGGAGGAAAAGAATTTGTGTTAAGAAGACGACGAACAATATCCTCGGGTTGGGTGTACAACGCAGCATTATCAACGTTTTCATTGTTAACGCCATCCTCCTCACCACCGGTGATCCCGATTTCCATCTCTAGCCAGAGATCAATCTTGGCCATTCTTTCGAAGTACTTGCAACAGATCTCGATGTTTTCTTCCTTAGATTCCTCGGAAAGGTCGAGCATGTGAGACGAGAATAAGGGTTCCTTATGGGTCTTGTAGTACTCCTCATTGGCCGCGAGCATTCCATCAAACCAGGGCAACAGTTTCTTGGCACAATGATCGGAATGCATGATCACGGGGATTCCGTAAGTGGGAGCGATGGATCTAAAAGGACAATCAATCCATTTTTTTCGTTTATTATTGGAACATGTATGGATTGGTTTAGTGAAGATCGAATTATTCTAAACTTACCTGACAAACATGGCAGCGGCTACGGCACCAGCAATCGAAGCTTCCTGGTTACCGTTTTTGACACCCTTGCCTGCAAAGAATGCCGCACCACCCTGAGAGACTTGAATCATCACGGGTGCTTTGGAGTCTCGGGCTCCTTCTAAGGCCGCAATGACGGTCGAAGAAGATGTGCACTAGAAAAAAAAAGATGTTAAAAATACGTTCTTGGTGATGATACAGAAAAGCTCGAGGGTGAAGACTGCTAACATTGAAGGCAGGAATGGCGAATCCGTGAGCCTTAGCATACTCCAAGACTTTGACGAGATTCTTGCCAGTGACGACACCACTGTTTCAGAAAGAAAAAAAGAGTTAGATGGATGCAGTATGCAAGTGATGAAAGAAGAGAGAGAAATAAAGCTTACGCCTAAATGCAGGGAGGGCAATGATGGTATTGGAAAGAGGAAGAGTGATCTGATCAAGATCCTTCTCCTACCAACAGGTTCTACAAATAGGAGATGGTGGTCACTTACAGGTACGAGTTCGAGTAGACCACCCATTATTGATTATTGAGGATGATGGTTGGGGTAGGTGGGTTTTGTTAGATTTTAGGGATGGATAGCTGATGAGGGCAAACTAGGGTGGTTTGTCTGGATTTCTCTGAAGAGGGGGATGAGCTTGGTTTCCTGTTGACCACTGCTGTTGTTTGTTGCTGCTGTTGTACTGCTGTGGAGATCGATGACGAAGACAGCGTCGACTACCGTTGAGTTTCAAGTTTCAGGGTGGGGGGAAATCGGAACGATCTCGGAACGGGGAGGCCCCGGATCAGATCCCGTCTCCCGGACGGAGTCTCGCAAATCATCGGTGCAAGGAGTAAACTACAGATGAAGCATCATGAAGCTCCCCAATACATCCCCAACTACTCCATCTGAAAACTAAACAAGAGTTACACTACAACACCTTCCCCCTTCAAAGCTCCACACTCCTCCTTGACCAATGACCATTCAAATCTAATAATCACTTAGGGCCTGTACCATAGCAGTGAATTTTGAGAAATGGTCATTTTTTCTGTCTCCTACACAAAAATTCAAAACAATTGGAGATACCTGGTGTTGAAATTGTTCATATTTGAGCTTATAAATGCCCTTTGGTGATGGTCACTTGTGATTTTATGAGAATTTGAAGAATATAGATTCTAAAAAATTATGAAAAATTGAATTTTCATGCCATATGGTACAGGCCCTTAGGATAACTGTTGCTCATGAACACCAACAATTGATTAATGACATGCACTGGTAACAACTGGTCACCAAGAAGAAACTGCCCCCTTTTCAATGATCTATTTGTTTAACATGTGTAATCTTGTCATCAAGGAGAGGACTACTGCTATCCTCATTTACCACTGGCACTAGTACAAGCTGGTGATTGATAACTGGCACTGGTCATCAAAGAGAGAACTCAACGTGATGACAACCAGTAACATTCATTGAGAAGAGACCTCCGGTCAACAACCACAATTATCTGATTATCCCCTCAAAGAACCTGGTTGTTGATACTCCCTTTTGATGACTGGTTCAATCTAGGCCTTGATGGAAGTGATCCCCTGGATGTCCTGTAGCTGTTGGATGTGCCCACCAAATTGGTGATTTTATTCTTTTCACACTTTTGAACATGGATCCACTGCGTTGGGGCAAGCTCAACCCATAGGGATCTCTAGTTCAGGGAAAAAAAATGAAAATATGGATTAACTGATTTTTGTGTTCAAAAAATTGCAAATGAAAGCATTTGTATCAATATTTATATATTTGATGCTAGAGCTAGAATATGAACCATCCAATTTCCTTACTGACAGGATACCACAAAGGGTTGTGGACAAATCACATTGTGTCAAGTTTAGGTAGTAACACTCATGGCTTCACACAAAATGTCTCCCACATAGGGTAGCGCTCTAATGCATATCTCAGCATCTTCTGTATGACCAACATGAGATACCCAGAAAATGAAAGCCAGAATTTTCAGTTTTTGCCTAAGATTCCTTTTTTTTCTTGGACTTCATGCATGAGATTTTCTAGAATCACAAATGTATAGGCCATGAGAGAGCTAACCTCAAGCTGGTTTTCTGAGGTTGAATTGTGAGCAATAAGTTTGGGGGAGTAGAATGCTCTCAGCTATTAGGTTTTGTATGAAAAAGTGGGCCTTGAGCTTTGCGTTGAGCTTTGAGCAACTTGATTAAAAATACCAGATTGGAAAACAATTTGAGATGGTTGACCAAGTTTGATTTCTTGGAAATTGTTCATTGGATGCCTGTGTTTCCTTAACTTTTCTTATCAGCATATGTCTCTAGTTTTATCAATAAATTATTGACTGGAATAACATATTTGTCTTTACCAACCCTTGTTGACTGCTTTCAAAGACGATGAGTGGGAAATGGAGATAGCCCTGGTGCATTCCTCTTTGTGTTGGGTTACTATTTTTTAGGAGCTTGTGTATCAACTTAAAAACTGGAATACATAAGATGACTGACCATTGATTGAACTCAGATTCATCCTGATCTACAGACACCTTGATCTACTCAGATCAGTGCAAGTCTTGCCAATATGCACTCAAAGTAAGAGTGAAGAGCTTTTCTCAAGGTACTCCTTGGCCCCATTTCATCCCTGTTGAAAGTTTACAAACAGTGTAATAATGAAATTTGGATGGAATCCAAGAGTGTGTGTTTCTTCTTATAGCCCTTGCCATCTAACCAAAAACGAACTTCTGTCCACCTAGAGGATGTATTATTGCAAAATAAACAAATGGAGACTCATAAGGATGAAACCTTCCCTCCATAACCAATGATACTAATAGGAGGGAGGCCACATAGATCAATTAAAATATTTCAAGCTGTAAACGAAGTCTAAGAATACAAGGTCGATTATTTAGTGGGATGTTGGTTGTCCCATAAAGTACGAACAACCATCTTGGACTCTAGATTCTGAGCCGCATCGTCATGATCTTGATCTCGCAAGACAAATTCCAGCTGTCTTTTCTCATCCGGCCTGAGAAAGAAGTCATTTGAAGGCAGTTTTGTCGTCATGTCTTTGAAGTAACCTCGCGCGCCTAACGCAAACAACATCAAACAGGCAAAAAAGTGGTTAGCGGGTTCAGGCAGCAAAAAACAAGTCACCCGAAACTACCGAATTAAATGAGTGAGAATTTACCTGGAGGGTGCTCAACTGTTCATCACGGAGGGGAAAGGTCGAGATCGTGCTTTAGTCAGCTTGATCGATTTAGGTTTACGTGGCGGCCAAGTGATGTCAGAACGTACCATTGACCCAAGCAGCAACACCGCCACTTGCGACTTCTACTGAGACCTGATTATGGCCGATCGGCCGACTCTGGACCTTAGTGGCGCGCAACTTACAATCTCTTAGGGCGACGGGGTGGAAGAATTGTTCGTTGGTGTATTTGCCATCGCTAGTGGTCATGGTGAGATGCATCCAAGCGTCATTTGGAGGGTGACCATTGGGGACGATCGTCGAGAGACCCGCAGAATGATATAGGTGAGTCGAGTTGAGTGATCCGACTGAGAATTTCTTCGTCGTTTTCGACAATTGTCGACCCGCAAAATCGTACCCTTCAAAGTTTTTAATCAGAGAGAAAGAGAAAAAATCAGCATGGGTGATTTTTTGAAATGTTGACTGTTGGCTTGTACTTACAGGTCCATTCCGCGGTACCTTCGACTGCTTGCCTGTTGAAATTAATCCCCGAGTTAGATCAATTTAAGGTGGATTTGCTAAGAGAACCCGGGGACTGACCAAAGGTCAGAGGTAACATAAATGTCCAAGGTATTATTTGTCTGATGAAATATGGGCGAAATGATGACATGGGATTGGACGCGTTCGGCGAGGTAATGGAAGATCTTCCATCTTCCGGTATATTCGATCGACGACCAACTTTGACCCTCCCACACGTCATTCACTGGGTGATATGATTATGGTCAGGTTCAGTATTCAAGCTTTTCTGGTCAAGGAGATGAAAATCACTCACGCTGCCAGTAGAGTGCACCTATTGTGTGGCACAGACAGAAGTTCGTCAGGGGGCATGCATCGTCATACCTTGAAGAACGGACTTACCCATGTTGTTTTCGCCGCGGCTGGCTCCTAACCGGTAGTAATGAATTTCTGAAGCCATGAAAGCGGCCTGGAAGACTGATGAAGCATATTTTACCTGGGTCAGATCACCAAATAGGTTGAAGATATGTGGTCGAAGTACATACCCTGAGTAGAGTAAGACCACTGAGCCAAAAGTGTGTGATAGTCGGTGATGTTTGGGGTAGGATAGTGTCTCGTCACTCCAGTGGTAAGCTGCATCTGACCGTCATCCGCTGGCCATGGATATACAAGAGATTCTGCAGGGTTGTGCTAAAAATCGAGGATTGGAATGAGATAGAGCAGGGATGAAAGCGGTATATGCGGATTGTTCTAATAAACAACTTACTTTTTCATGAGCCCGGATTACAGTAGAATTGAAATCGTAGTCTTCAGGGGATTCAAGGATACGATCCCAGGTATAAATAGAGGGCATCGAATGAAAGCCAAACTGTGCCCCAAAACAAATTGAAGTTTGAGTTCAACACTTCCCCTTCAAAACACCAAAAAACCAGGACATCTAGTCCACTGACCTCGTTAACAAAACGGGCGACTGGATAAGATGTGATGTCAAAACTGGCGGAGGTATTGTAGTTGTAGTGCTCCTTGTCGCCATAAAGCTCTCCGGGCGTGGAGTTATAGTAGCGGGAGACGTATGGATCAAGCGTGAAATAACTGGTTCCACGCAACATGATCATTAGCGCTGAGTCAATTGGCAAAAATTAGGAGGAGGGAAAGAAAAACAATACCCTTGAGTGGTTGACGAGGGAATGTATGATATTGAACGTGTGTTATCCAAGACAAGGTCTCGCAAGACGTCTTCAAGAAAACCTAGCCTTAGCTGCAATTCGACAACACATGCAATATTTATGTTACTCACGATTGTTGAGATGATCATACTGGTTGAAGTAGATTGAACCATTTGCCCAGGTCTTATTGACGTCGATTAAGTATCCTTCTCCCTAATTAGAAAAATAAGAAACTCAGATTATTAAAAAACAGCCCAGCCGCACAATTAGAGGCTTCTTAGGATTTCATTTACCTCATTATTACCGGCCCATAGGGCGGTGCTAGGATGACGATTCAACCTTGCGACATTCTCAGAGACTTCTGCGCGGATGTTATCCAGAAAGGATTCAGGGGACAGAGGATAAGCGCCACAGGCAAAGACACTTTCCGACCAAGCCAGGATACCGAGCTCATCACAAATCTATTGAGGAAATTTGGTTGAGGTTAGCAATTGATGGTCGGAATTCGAAGATGGCCAACTCACGTCGTAAAACTCATCGGTCTGATAGGCACCACCACCCCAAATCCTGATGACGTTCTGATGGGCCAACAGGGCAGATTCGATTAGCCAGCGAATGGTGGTAGAATTGGTACGAGCGGCAAAATTGTCGATCGGGATCATACTATGGATCAATCACATCAAGTTCAGTGAAGGTCCACAAGGCTAAACCAGCAAGGTAAAGATGCGGTACCTGGAACCTTGGACATAGAAGGGCTTGCCATTGACGATGAAAGTAAAGCGGGTACCAGGCTGAACTCCACGAGAAACCTCTTCCTGGGTATATCGACTCTGATCAACGACGATAGTTCGAAACCCGACTTTCTCCTTCCAAGTCAGCCCTTCATCTATGCTCGAGCTTGCACGTTGGCCTTCAAGTTTCAGCGTCAATTCGAGATCATACAACTTGGGGTTTCCCAAGGTAGCAGGGTACCAAAGCTCAATTTCTTCGGGATCGACAACGTATTCGACTGTGAGTGAATAATCCGGGCCGTAGTCTCTATACTGAGGAGTCTTGAGTGTACTGAGTTGAGTAGCTGGTAGTTTGATTGACGTGCCCGAAAGAACGCCCGATAAAGTGGCATTAATGGATTTTGGGGAGGTGATGGGGAGGGTGATGTTAATTACCCAGGGCGCGCTTTGATCCGGTAACAAATTATTGCGTTGATCTAAGAGGGGCGACGCAAGCAATAGATCAGTTGTATGTTTTCTTTTTTCAAAAAAAAAGCCAACAAAATCATTAGAAATACTACATGCCTTGTCGATAGATGTCGATTACGGTCCTATGAACCCAGAGAGAAGGTGCTTGATTGGGTGCATTGGCGGCCTTTTCAAGTTTCTTGTCGACCGGTAGAGACGAATTCTTTTGTTTTTTAGCCGTGGGCGCTTTTACCTTTGCTCGGCGTGGATCAGCCTTGGTCTGTTTGACGAGGCCAAGGTTCGATTGGGCCGGCGCAGAAAGACCGATCAAATAGGCTGGTTGTACCCTATTCTCAGGATTTTACCGAAAATACTTAGGTTGCCAACATCTAGCAGGCATTCTTGTACCGAGAAAGAGAAGAGTACTCACGGGCCAGAGGGCAGGTATGCAGGCCCTGATTAATCCAAATGCACTAGTTAGTCGCAGAGCAATTCGAATATACTAAGTGGCCTACTTACCCCAATCCCATCCAAAATCCGATTGCTGCTTACGTGCCCAATTGCGGTAGCTGTACTCAAAGGGTTGCAGGGTGGTGGTTCTTTTTTTGTCTGCTGATTTGTTTGGAAACCACATATTACCTGGCTCATGGGCCAATTTCGAGGCAGTGGAGTAGGCAGAAGCAAACCTGAGAGACAGTGGGATCGTTTGGTTCAGGGAAGATTTGATGACTTGAGTGGCTATAGTCGAACAGATCGTAACGTTGAGCAAACATTATCCATGGATCAATTTCTTCATGACACGAAACCACGAAGCTTACCATCAAATACCCAGCTTCGAAACGCGTTGTCTGTGGAGCCAATTCGGTGCCCATTTACATGGATGTCGCAGAAGGTATCAAGACCATTGAATACAAGATAAAACTGTGAGAAGTATTTTGAAAAGTTTAGGGAGGAAATCAACTGGTGATTGTTGCCGTGTTTACCATCTGTTTGACTTACGCGCTCCACCTTTGCCCATGCACCATCAGTATCGACCTTAAATTGGGTCTCCCAAGTCCAGGCTTCTTCTTCACCAACCCACCGGGTTGTGCCTTCATTCAATCCAATATTCGGATCATCGATCAGGCCAGCCTCAATGAGTGCAAGGTGTGGCTGATTTAAGAAGGGGGTAGGCACGACGATTGAGCGGTTGGCGTTGGCAAGAGACCATTTGAAAGTTGACAAGCTGGTGTGAGTGGGCGGCAAGGGTGGACCTTGCCCAGAAGCTGCGGCCAAGACTGAGAAAGGAAGGACATTCAGTGGGATGAAACAAAGAAAATATAAGGGTAGGTAATGCATGGCCAATGACCAAGTGGAATAAATGAAAAGAGATTTGGCAGGCAGTGAGGGGGGCATAGACCGAAGAGCCGCAACTATGTAGAGCCACTTTATTAGTTACTCGTTTGAGGTAAGTATCGGTGGATGTAGGTCGATTGACGAAGAAATGTCGAGAGGGCCGAGAGTCGCGTATGTTCAAGAAACAACGCTTTCTCACGTTGGCTGACCTCCTGGTTTGGAAGCGAGATAGATGTAATAAAGCTGATGATGGGTTATAGATCAAGCTAGATCAAGCTGCCAAGTGTACAGAGGCATGCTGATATAAAATCAACGGGCACAATCTGGCACAATTTTGGGAGATTTTAAGGCAAGGAAAAGGAGAAGAAAAATTGAGCAAGAGCGGCTGATCTAGCGTGCCGGACTAAATGTAGACTCACCAAAATCTACGAAGATTCACATCTATGAAGGTTCAATCCTTCCGTCATTCCATCATACACAAATACATCTGTTGTGAGCTGCTACACTTTGTCTTTCCAATTTGCTATGTACGTCAACGGTCTGCTAGGGATTGCACCAGTGCGACTGCGACGGACTTGGCCCAACGATTGCAAAATAGAACAGAACAACAAATCGGCAAAACACCCACTCGGATAAATTTTGGAAAATGATTTCAAGGGGGGCAGGAGGATGATGAGTCAATGTATATTCTTGCGTCGGCTTGAGGCTCCTAAAGGCGAAAAAGAAACCAGGTATTCCGAGAGATGGCCTATGAAAGTTGAGGCACATAAATAAGCAAGTGTCAGGTTCGGATATACATGTATTTATAGTTATACCTTAGCCCACAACAGGAGTTTTCCGGTCTCTTCTGGCAGTACAACATATTTAGCAGCGATCAAATCGTCGGGGCCAGGTGGCGGTGAGCTGCTCATAGGTATAATACATGTTTATCATGTCTGGAAGTGGGAAAGATCTTAAGAAAGAACGCCGACTGCGGGAGTGATTTAGTTGAGCTCACATCACATCAGAATCGGCCTAACGCGCTTGGGCGACGCGGTGCCAAAAAGGAGGATCCTAATTCCCAATGAGATCTGGAAGTTAAAGCCAGTGTGTTGAGCTTATTACCAATCGTGCTCGTTCACACATGAAGCCCTTGTGTGTTATAGCTTGACATGGAACGAAAGTCAGGAAAACCCCGACGGCAATTGCCCAGCCGGCGAAAGGAGCTGAGCTCGGCCGATGACATTGGTTTGGAACTTCTGTTATCACAGCCAATATACCTCTTGCATATCTACTGAAGCAGCACCGACTCCCAGCGTTCGGCGTGGAGTGCACATGCCTGCTTTTGCTTTTGCTTTTGGGTTTGTAACCTGAAAATAGTTCTTGTACATCAAACACATTTGCAGCGTATACGTGCAAGATCATTTAAGTCTTGGTGATGGCAATGTGTCTGGTCCCCTGGAATCAGTGGATGTGATCAAAAAGAGTTGCGAGGTGGAAAGATTTGTGCAAAATCTCAATAATTACGGTTAATAAGATTATGCATCACCTTCCCACTCACGACTCCGCTCCGAGTCCCGAGTAGAAACTCCCGAGATGATCAGGTGTGCAGAAATTCTACATATTTTATATGCTGTTTCTAGCTTGCGGTTCATCGGCATCCAGATTCAACATGTCCATGAACGGCTTGCTAATGATTTCCTGAATGTGCAATGAAATAAATATTGTTGTACTGCACCTCCAAGATTTCCAGCAAGATAACTCAAAGGTGACAGGGGCGGACCATCGTAGGGAGAAGTTAACGTAGGCCTAGGGACTTGGGTAAGTCAGGATAGGTTCATCCATAGTAAACTGTAAGTCCCATTCTATCGACGCGACAAAATCCTCTTTTCGCGACCGCTGTTCTCTAGTATCAATAAACGGAAACTTGGACACACACACACTCCATCCACCTAAAACCACTACAACGAAATCCTGAAAAGATGATCTGCATGTCAAAACCAAAACCAAAAAAGAAAAAACTTACAATAAACTGTGTTGAAGTGATGAAGAGCCATGCAGGGGTATTTCTTCATCAGATTTCTCAAAACAAGAATCGCATAATCATCTCCAGTTGACAGAAGTTGTCATTTCCTAAAGTACAACCTACAAATCTCCTCACCTTCCCTGATCCACATAGACATGTAAATGCGATCGAGATTACCACCTGACAGACCAGATTCATAAACGGGTGGAAATTATGGAGGAAACCCATGAGCAGTTCGTTCGAGTTGAGCAATTCCAGATAGATCGCAAGAAGATCTCAGATCGGAAGCATCTCATTAGATGTGCTGCTTCTATGTCACCACTCAAATGCCTGAGATTCTCCACGGAGTTCGATCTCAATCTCTTGAACTTATCTTGAGCTATGTAGGTAGCTCCAGGGACCAATTGACATACATACATACACATACATACGAGTTAAGATTTCATGCACGATTTGATACAAGGGTTTACAATTTTTTTGTTTAGCTTGAAACACTCTGGAGGAGAGGGTTCTGCAGGTTGCTATATAGTTAACGAAGAGTTACAATTTTTTTGTGCAAAAAAAGCGACGAGTTAGTGATAAAACAGATCATGCACAACCAGATTGGACAAGAGTCCTCTTTGAAGCCTCAGGAGGGAATTGAGAAGAGATGTAATTGTGTGTGTGTGTGGAAAAGGAGTCAGCCGATTGGAGTACAACAAAGCCGATGATTCTGGACTATAGTTTTGGTAAGACTTTGGAGGCTTCAGCTTCGATCCGGACCACACCTTCTTGAGTCTTTATTTTATTTTTGACAAAAAAAGGGAAGAGTATGTCAAAGAAGAATAGGTGGTGATCAGAGTCAGTGCGGTCGAGGGTGAAGCAGAGAGGCAGAGAGAGAGAGAGAGAAGAACCTACACAGACAGCGATCAATCTGCCATCACGAGCATAGATCCGACCGATCACTAATCCTCGACCATCCTTCCCGGCCTCCGCTTCCATCTTATACAACATCCATTCGCTCACCTCAAACTCACTTTAAGATATGTATACGGTCAATCAGAGGGACATAATCAATAGCAAATCCTGATGAAAGGGCATTATCATGCAAATCCCGATCCCCCTTCTTCTTCACCCCCCCCCCCCCCCAAAAAAAAAAAAAAAAAAACAGAGGTTGCTCCACTTGGCATAGAAAAACATCGAATGATCTAGCGAGGGAAGCATCCACGCTCTGGGGAACCCCTGGAAAGTTTAAGCCCATCGCTTTACTGGGGGTCCCGATGAACCGAAAACTGAGACAAAAAGAAAAATCATTCGACAAATAATTAAATATTCAAGAAAAGGAGATAATCTGGCAGTGCTATCAAAAGGAGGGTAGGCTTACTC